GATGGCCTAAGTTGACCAAATGGGACACGGAGAGCATGGGAGCGACCCAGCAGCACGAGCGTTAGGCTGGGCTGTGCGTGACCATGCGTGTGCTCACAGGAACAGAGTCCTGCAGGTGATTCGCAAACAGCTGCCTGCAGTCACGGCCCTTCCCTTGCTCCGAAACAGTGGCTCAAGGTGGGCGGTGGGTGGCAGCTCTGCCAAACTCCTATTTACTGAGGAGCTGAGGACACGGTGGCTTCCTGGCAGGCAAGGATGACAAGGCTGCCAGCGAGGTGCTGGAGTTGATTCCAGAGGCAGGTGGTGAGTGTCCACAGGGCCTCAGTAGGACCCTCCTGCTGAGATGGTGCATGTCCCCTCCACACCCCAAAACAGTTGCCCCCGACAGTGTGTTTTGCCTGTACTTGAGCACTGGGGGGGGCAGATTGCTGAGGAATCAGGTGAGTCAGTCTCTTCGGCTGTCAGGTCTATCACTGGGTGCTGGAATGCTGCTTCCAGGTAAGAGATCCTATCTAGTGGGACCTGGTGTGTGCCTACACACCTAACTAGATAGCAGAGTCCTGCACCATTAGTCACCACGGGAGCCAGCCTTAACCCCTTGCTGTCCTTGCTAAAGTGCTCCTCCCAACGAGGAGCGAGGAGCGAGCGCACAGCAGATGGCAACAGGGCCACTCAAATCGGCACGCAGCATCCCACTTGGCTAAGAGCTGTCATCTGCTTGGCCTGAAAAGTATCAAAGGGCACCTCTTCAGGGCCTGATCTCAGCGCAGGGGCGCGGGACTGATACTGTACAAACTGCAGAACGCCAATAAAAGTTGATAGTTAACCCTCCTCTACCAGCGAGGCATGACCTTGGCCTGTCAAGGAAATGCGCTGTCAGCGGGGTCACGGGCAGCAGCACAGCCGGCTGGCGCGGCAGCCCCCCGGGGATTCAACCCGGATCAACGCAGAGGTGGGCTGCTGCACCCGGGCCGGCACACCGCGGTGGGACAGGGCATGCCAGCAGTGAGGGCGCAGGTGCGTGACATCCCCCGTGCCAAGGGCAGCGCTGCACGGGGTTCGGGCACATGGAACATGCTATACCTGTGCTGCGCAAGTGTAGTTGCCTCACCAGTCCCCCACGATCCCTAGTGATAAGAGCCCGGCACAGCCCTCCAGCACATGTCTCCCCTTCCCGTCCCTCCCCCTGACTTAAGTTTTTATGGTAAGTAATATTCTAGTATAAACAAAGAAAACAAAACACGCTTTCATTATTATTTTTTTTTTGGTCCTCATAAATAACTAATTTCAATACTTCTCTTTGAATAAAATTTCTTCAGCTTTTCACAAAATATAGTACAGTTTAACAGCATCAGTAACGGAAGTGGCAAAAACCAGCACATAAATTGGCTACAGCACACAGGACACACGGCAACGCTCCCTTCCCCCCCCGCCTGCCACTTGTTGCTGAGAAGCCAGGCTCAAACACAAGTTGATTGTATTAACCTACCATCAGATCAAAGCTGAAAATGCTCTTGCATTTTTCAATAGGCAACGGTTTGTAGCTAATCTTAGATTTCTTTTTTTTTTCTTAAAAAAAAAAAAAAGCTTTACACAGTCAGTTGCACTTTGAAAAAAAAAAAAAAACCAAAAACAACAGAACACCACCTTTGACATGGTTTTGTTCATTGTATTGCATGATGTGTGTTTAGCTGTATCTACAAAAGGCACTATAGAAAGAGAGGAGTCCAGCGAGGCGTGGATTGGAGCAGGTTGGAGTCATTTAATGCCCTGCATTACAACACGAGACTACCCACAGCGTCTCTGCGCCTGACCTGTCCCGCTGCTGAGAACACACCTGTCCCAAACCCGTATCAAAGGTCACTACAGCTTCTCTATGTACAAACCAGGCTATAATACAACTATTTACAGTTTGTAACACAACACGGTGCAATTCTGTCCACGATGAAGCACTGTAACACGCCGGAGGGAGCAAGCCCTCTGTCACAAGAGTGCTGATATGTGCAGCTGAGCAGCCCCTGCAGAGCCCCGAGCCCTCCGTCCCTGCACCGCTGGCTCCTCTGGCCAGAACGCCCCAGAGACACTCATGCGGTACTTTGGCAGTACCTTTTTCAGTAGCTGTGCCACTCCAGCGTCCCCTCACCTCCCAGGCTGTGGTTTTTAAAATGAGGTGGAAAACTTCTTGACTGAAGTGGTCCAAGGGTGTTGAGAACAACCTCGGCTGCTTGCAGTCCCGCAGGAGCAAAGCCAACATTTGTTCTGCAGTGCTGGAGCAGCCGGGTCACAGTGCCACGCTTGAAGGAAGGCAAAAAGGATGCAAGTAATGGCTGGGCGTGATCACTGGGGGGGGAGGGGG